CTGCAAACACTTGTTTTCAAGTGAGGGCACATTCTAGTACCTGGGACGAGGTTGCAGATTTATCTTTTGGAAACCAGTTTTCAACCACCATAAGACCCTTGCAGGGATCCTGGGATCCAGGTCTATACAGCGTCACGGAAGATGCTGATTCCTGTGGGGTGTGAGGTGTTCAAGACCCGATCCCTCCAGCACAGGTATGCTCTCCTGGTGTCTGAGTTGTCCCCTGGGAAAAGGAGTGTGGGGGTGACTAACGAAGGCTGTGGATAGCTACGTGGACTGGGGTGCCTATTGAGAAGGCTGTGATCTCCAGTTCCTGCCCTATGTCCCCCTGAGCTAGCTGGTTCTCTGTGGGGGTGGCTCTAGAACGCTCTTGTGTAGCAGAAGGATGAAAAGTTTGACTGGAGGAGGTTCTAGAAAGAGGAGGGGAAAAGGGACCATAGACCGCCGTAGTGACACACATTTCAAGTTCTTCGGAAGGATACCCAGAAAAGCGAGGCAGTTTCCAGAAGAGAATAGAGAGTCAAGGATGCCGGGGTTTTGTGTTTAGGGTTTATTTATTTTATGTGTATGAGTGTTTTGCCTGCATATATGTATGAATGTGCACTACCTATGTGCCTGGTCCCCTCAGAGGCCAGAACAGGGTGTTACTGGAGTTACAGATAGTTGTGAATCACCATGTGGGTGCTGGGAACTGAACCCAGGTCCTCTGTAGGAGCAATAGATGCTCCTAACCACTGAACCAGCCAGCCAGCCCCCAAGGGTATGGGTTTTTAAAAGATGACAGATATAAAATATTGGCACTAAGCCAATGGGGGGAGACATTAGCAATATGAAGTGGACAGGCTGATGTAAAGCTCCGGACAGTTGTGGAGGCAAGGGGTGAGGAGGCGCAGGAAGTACTCAGGCAGTCTCAGGCTATCAGCCGAGAAGTCTGGGGACAGAGATGCTTCTCCATTAGGACCGGACCCCTTTCTTCCCTGGGTTTGGCTAAGTGGTGTTTCTAAACCGCTGAACAATGACTAGGCGACGGGAACGGTGCTTTTACCTTAGATGCTGTTATTATTATTACCATTACAAATGAGTGGCTGTAAAACTGCATTTGGTTACTAACAATTTAATGATGAGGCAGAAATAACTCATTCGGCAGTTAGCTATTGCCAGGCGTAGAGCTCAGTGGCAAAGCCCCTGAGTGGCATGTAGAAAGGCCTGGATTTGTCCCCAGCACAGAAAACAGATAGTTCTACTAAACAGGGGCAGAGGCTTGGAATGCAGCTCAGTAGTAGAGCATTTGCCCAGCGTGTGCAAGACCATGGCTTCCCTCTAACACCACTGGGGGGAAAAATCAGGAAGGAAAAAATTACTGACTTATCGTGTGCTTCTAGGTACTAAGGATCCAGCAGGAGCAAACTAATTGTATTTAAAGTACTCTATCGGTTCCATTATTAAGTGATTCACATGTGGTTTTTGTAAAAAAAAAAAAAAAAAAAAAAAAAAAAAAAAAAAAAACATGTTTTGAGGTACTTTGGACTGTCCCTTCATGCTCTGTAAAAACCCCAGTTCCCAGAAGCTGGGAGATTTGTTATAAAGGTTTCTTCTTCGAGGCTCTTGGGGAAGTCATCTGGGGACTTTCTCCATTTTCTTCTTTGCTAGGGTTTAGTCCATGAGCCTTTTCAAATATATTTAAGTGATCTTGGAATTCGGTCGCTTATAGCTGCATTAGGAGGATATTTCAACTGCCTTTAATAACTGCTCTTTCTTTTGGTTAGTCTTTTAAATGCCACTTAAATGTAGTTAAATTCTCTCACAAAACCAGCCTGAGATCATTGTGCTATTTAATTTCTCTCCCTTCAGCTTCTGTCACAAAAGCAGTTGCACATACAGAAAGGAAGGAGTGTAGAATTGCCAAGACTTCTGTTCACTAATGCAGACGCCTGAATTTTCCACTTTTCACTAAAGAATCCATTCCAGCATGCTGAACCTTTAGAAAGGTCGGCGGCCACTTGGAGCGCTTTCAACTGTTTGGCTCTGCGGCCTTCTTCACAATGGCCGTTTCTCTGATTTCCCTGCAGTATTTATTTCATAGGAAGCATTTGTTTTAGAGAAGCACAAAGCCTCTTCTGAACGCTTCCTCATCCATGGCAGAGTGTGACTAGATTTCCCATTAGTTGGAGATTTTTTATTTATCAGAGAGTAGTGGCCCACACCTGTGGTCAGTGGCACACACCTGTGGTCAGTGGCACACACCTGTGGTCGGTGAACACACCTGTGGTCAGTGGCACACACCTGTAGTCCCAGGACTTGCAATGTTCTAACAAAAAGATCTCTTGAGCACAGAAACTCAAGTCCAGTCTGGACACCATAGCCAGTGTTATTTTTTTGTTTCAGACCTCCAATAATTTGTTGTACTTTAGGAATGCATACATTTCCCAAAGTATATCTGGTATGTGGACAGAGGGGAGAGATTGACCCTGTGGCTTCTTTTTTTAAAAAAAAAATTATTTTATGTGTATTTTGCCTGCATGTATGTATGTGTACCATATGCATGCCTGGTGCCCACGGAGGTTAGAAGAGAGTTAGAATCTCCTGTAACTGGAGTCACAGAAAACTGAGAGTCATCATGTGTTGGGAATTGAACCCTGATTCTTTGGAAAAGCAGCCAGTGCTCTTAACAGCTGAGCCATCTCTCCAGTCCCATTTCTGTGGCTTCTTTCTTCAGCTGACTCCATTCATATAGGTCCCAAAGGACCCATCCTTATTCTGAACAGTTTCAAATACTATTTACTGTTTGCTTGATACATATTTAAAGTATTTTAAACTTAGAGCAGTGGCTGTGTATTAGATATCCCTGCATCATCTCCGAATGCCTGTGTATTACAGAATAACTCTTATCACACTCTCTACTAGAAATATAACATCTTATAGCATAAAAATATCCATCCCCCAAGGCAGTAAAATGCCCTGTGACATGACTGGTCTCTGGCCCATGCTTCTCTCACAGCCTCTAAAGTCAACTTCAGATGTCTCTAGAGGATTTAGGATGGTTCAACAGTTCCTCTGAAAGCCCTGCGGACCCCGTAGATACTGTACTTTAAGTTTTGATCTATCTAATCTGATTCTGATGTGGGCAGTGGCAAAGAGCCGGGCACTCAATGGCAGGGATATAAACAGCAACGCTCTGCAGTGTGCAGTCGCTAAGGCACGAGTTAGGTGTAGTCAAGGCATGCTCAACTTGCAACTTCCGATGGATTTACTGGGGATCCAAGACCATTCTAAACGGAAGAGCAGCAGTGTCTGTCCCTTCCGCTGCAGACTTCCCACTCTTGGGTTGAGGGGCATTTGTGGGCCAAGGTGTGGAAGAACGAGTAAGAATTCTGCATGTGTCTACATGTATGAAAAGGCTAGTTTTCGTTCATTAACTGCATTATGTGACTAGAGTGGGTCACGACCCTGGGATCCTTGTAAACAGGATTGGTAATGTTGACGGACAGACAGTGGTACATCAGCACAAACAGACTGACTAAGCTTAGAAGAGCTCTGCCCAAGAGCAGCAGATGGAAAATTCCAGGACCTCCATATACATGTTTTTGCCCCAAAGTAAGTAAACAGATTAAGTCCAAAGTTTACCAAAAAAAATAGAAATCCTTTTAGGAAAAGAGCAAAACGGATTCCAACATGAGTGGAGAGTCTCAAAGCATATTTTAGATGAAATTTTGGCTCCCTAAAACGACCACTTTTCAGGAACTGGGCATATTGCCATAAAAGCACACTAAGTGAAAAGTATTGAGGGGAAATTGTTGTAAATAAGGTGCTGAAAGAACTTCTGTTTCCTTGGGAACGTCCATGCCTCCGTGTCTGTTTATTCTTATAGAATGGAGTGGAGACGGGACGGTAAGTAACATGTGCTACGATCTGCGTTTTTCTTACCCTCACCTACAGGACACAGTCCAAACCACTGAAGGGTTTCATGGTATCCGGAGCTGTTCTGGGTGGGTGGAAGCCATGAAGGGATGTTTGGGACCAGTTGATTAAACAGAGGGTATTAACAGCTCTGACCAAAACTGAAGGGCTCCACCAGGAAGGAAAGAGCGTTTCTGGTGACTGGAACTTTGGAACTTAGGGTGGTGGTCAAACAGCTTGGAACTGTGCAACAAAATGGCTTGGATGCTCACCTCACACCCGAGAAGCCTCCGTAGGCTGGGCGTTAGTAATACCTTCCCTCACATTTCCGTGGAAGAAGGCTGGCCACACAGACAGAAAACATTTTCCTTTAGGAACAAAGCCAACACTTCTGTGTTTGCTTGTTTGTGGTACTTTGATATTGGTGAAGAGGCGGTTTGTTCAGAGGCCAGGATGGAGGTTCCAGCCGGCTGGGACCCATTCCGAGCCTCTTGAATAGTTTCTGTGAACCAACCCCAGCAGAACGGCTTTGCTTTTCTGAATGTATTCTCAATGCCACCACCTTTTGGAAACGTGAAATGGTGCTGCACCACATTGGCTGAAGGTGAGATAGTCAAGCGGCATGGCATGGCAACACACACACACACACACACACACCGACGGTTCCATACTGCCCTAGTGCAGCCAGCAAACCGGACCCAGGGCAGCCAGCCATCCCTCAGGGCCACGACCTGCCCGCCTCTCCCACCCAAAAGAAACTTAGGAAACTTTTGCCACATCGACAAGTGGAGCGAAGCCAGGCAGCATCCCGTGAGTGCTCGAGAGGAAAGGACAAGAGGAGAAGGTGGAGCAGAGGACTCCTTTGGCTCCGGCTGAGGATGCTGCGCGGGCACCCGAGCTCCCCGCCTTCCTCTCTGCCTCTGAACCCTGAAGGAGTTCAAGAGCTGGCCTCCCCGAAGCAGGGGTTCCGAGCACCTGACTGCGCAGGCCCTCCCTGCCTACGGGAGTAACTTTCCCTAGTTTCCTGGATCCCTCAGAATCCTCCATGGCGTCCCGGTCCCCACCGCGCAGTGACCCCGCCACCCCCTCGAGGGCCCCAGTACCGATGCCCTGGATGAAGACGAAGCCGGTCACCGCGAGCACCGGGTGCCAGTTAAACTCGAGTGCGCCGCCGTCCCAGCCAAGCCCCTCTCGGTAGTGCAGGACCCAGACCAGCACGAAGATCACCGACAGGAAGCCCACGAGCAGCGCCGACACCAGCAGCCCCAGGAAGCCCCGGTAGCCCTCCATGGCCATCAGCAGCACCCCATGCTCCGCCACAGGCTGCGGGAGAACTCTGCGCGGCGGCGGCGGCAGCCTCGGGGTACTGGCCCGCGGCGGGGCCGGGGCGGCGACTCCTCCTCGGCACCGTCTCCGCCCGAGGGGAGGAGCTTTCTCGGGGTAACAGGCTGTGGGGCCTCCCGAGGGTGCTGCGAGCTCCGAGACGGTCACCCCCGCCCAAACACACACACACACACACACACACACACCCGCCCAAACACACACACCCTGATCACGCAGCCGCTGAGCTCTGGCTGTGCGGTGGCCGCCGCCCAAACACACACACACACACACACACACACACACACACACACACACACACACACACACACACAC